CTTAACACCTACTAATAAGTATATTTACTTTTCGTATGTGACCTGATGCTTTATTTACTACATATGTATTCCTAAAACATCTGCCATATGAGTTTTCTTACCTATAACAGTAACATCTGTCTTCTAATATCCGTACCTCAAATGACTCCTAAATATGTGTCCCCAACACCCCCCCACACACACTTAACACCTGCCACACTGACATTCCGGACACATACACTACCACACCACACACACTAACCCCCTTCCACTACCACACCCCCCCACACACACACACTACCACACAACAGAGATCAACAAATTCATATGGCAAGTTGCAAGTAAGTGACTCTGGTACCCACTACAGCTACATTTATAAGTAACTTGGAGCTCAATCTCAATTAAGTGTAAGTGAGTGAAGCTTCAACCACAATTTTATAGAGACAGTAGACACCTCACTTAAGTAAGATTTAAGTGACGGGTTTGAAAACACTACGAGATTTTAGTTCCTTATTGTATCTCGTTCAGTTCAGCCACGAGGAAAGATTAAAGTAAATATGGCGTCTAGTTAAGTATTTGGATTTAAGTAAGGGTTAATTCACAGGCAGTAAACCATGTAAGTAAGTTAGAAGTCTGAAAGTGGAGAGATTTAAGTGAATTCACCACAGAAACACCACAACCATTAAAATCTTCACCACAGCAAAACCACAACCAACATAACCTTCACCACAACAACACCACAACCACTATAACCTTCACCACAGCAACACCACAACCACTATAACCTTCACCACAGCAACACCACGACCATTAAAACCTTCACCACAACCACTATAACCTTCACCACAGCAACACCACAACCACTGTAACCTTGACCACACTAACACCACAACCAATAAAATCTCCACCACAGCAACACCACAACCCACCATAGCCTTCACCACAGCAACACCACAACCCACTATAACCTTCACCACAGCAACACCACAACCACTATAACCTTCACCACAGCAACACCACGACCATTAAAACCTTCACCACAGCAACACCACAACCACTATAACCTTCACCACAGCAACACCACAACCACTATAACCTTCACCACAGCAACACCACACCCACCAGAGCAATAGGGACGACTTTAACCAACCACCATAGCAAGACAAGTTTCTGAGTCACCCCCAACAACTGCATCACAACCACCACCACCACAGCAAGGCGGAAGTGCCAGTGATGTCGGCGCCTCCATTACCCACCAGCTCAAAGGCTTTAAATAAATCTAACCCTGGCAAAAGATGGCAGGTGTGTGTCTCCTTGTTTACACCTGGTCCAGCTGATCACACACCCAACACACCTGGCCAAGTTGATCACACACCTTACACACCTGGCCTAGCTGATCACACAGCTCTCACACTTGGTGCAGCTGATCACACACCCTACACACCTGGTCCAGCTGAACACACGCCCCACACCGGTCCAGCTGGAACACACTGGTCCAGCTGATCACACACCCCACACCTGGTCCAGCTGATCACACACCCCCACACCTGGTTTAGCTGAACACACATCCCACACACCTGGTCCAGCTGAACACACACCCCCACACACCTGGTCCAGCTGAACACACATCCCACACACCTGGTCCAGCTGAACACACACCCCACACACCTGGTCCAGCTAATCACCCCCCGTCACACCGTGCAACACAACCTACCTACCACTTTCATCAGCTTCACGCAACACACACAGGTCAACGTCAACACCCCCAAATTGTCTTACATTCCATCAGCATCTTGGTCGTTCACTGTAATGCCACAGACTCGACCGCCCCATTACAAACAAACTGTATTTCTGTTCACTGTATCCCCCCCCCCTCTCTCTCTCTGTCTCACTGTATTGAAAGGGGTATACACACCTCAAAAGAAGGAAGAAGAAAGAAAGGAAATAATAAAGAGATAAAAGTAAGATAGGTGCAGAAAGCAACAGGAAAGAGTTAAACCGAGATGGAATATTCACTATACACTTTGCTCACGTCTTCACAACCACCATCACACTTTAGTTGAGAGGATCACCCGAGGCAACACAATGATTCCCCCTCCCTCCCGACGCTCCTCTCCTCCTGCACATGACCCACCACCCACAACCCATGACCCACCACCCAAAACCCACCTCTCACCATTCTCAACCCCCCCCCTCCCCCACCACTCAATCCACCCCTCACCTATGCCACCGCTAGTCCTAATTTATTCACCTATGAAGTCCCGTCTCACCTTTATTTTTTTTAACTCTCACCCTCACTGTTGACATCTCTGAGTCTAATAATAACAGCTTTTATGTGTGTGTGTGTGTGTGTGAGAGAGAGAGAGAGAGAGAGAGAGAGAGAGAGAGAGAGAATAATATAAATCGGGACATCTCTCTCTCTCTCTCTCTCTCTCTCTCCTCACCTAATTGTTCAATGACTCGTCCTTGTTATAGTTTAAAGGGGAAAAAATAGCCACTCGTTTTAGTCATTTGTTTATACGTTTGGTTGGTTATAATATGTGGTTAAGGAATTATATTTTGTTTTGTTTTTTTATTTATTCTTAATTCTATCTGTCTATCAGTTCATTTATCCGTCCACCCATCCACTTATCTATGTATATACCATCCACCTATCCATCGATTTATCCGTCCGTCTAATCATTCACCTATATACCCATCAATCTATCTACCCATACATCCATATATCCATCCATCTATCCACCCATACATCCATCTATCCACCCATACATCTATACATCTATCCACCCATACATCCATATATCCATCCATCTATCCACCCATACATCCATCTATCCACCCATATATCCATCCATCTATCCACCCATATATCCATCCATCTATCCACCCATACATCCATATATCCATCCATCTATCCACCCATACATCTATTTATGGTCGTAGCCTTCAAACACTTCCACCATCATGCACCCCCCCCCCTTACAGGTGCCAGACACAAAGCAGCTATAGACCCCAGACGAAGCAGTAATTACCCCCAGAGTGCCACCGGTGCCAGCCAAACCCTGCTGCGGCTCTTGGCACTAACACCAGGGAACGCCAGATTAAATTCAAATGTCTCTTTTTCATGGCCGGCTAGTGAGTGATCTTAATAACCCGAGTGATCTTTCTCATTGTGATGTTATTTTTATTATTATCATCATCTTTATCGTCATTATTACTATCATTATTGTCATTATTACTATCATCATCTTCATCATCACTATTACCATCTTCATATTTATCATTATTATTATTATCATCATCATCATATCTATCATTATTACCATCATCATCATCTCTATCATTATTACCATCATCATCATCTCTATCATTATTACCATCATCAACATCATCACAGGTCACACGAGATCCACAACAACTAGCCTCGGATGCGAACAAAGGTGTCAGATCTACTTCAAGGTAATATAGACAAACTGTATATAAGGTTCAGTTTCCTAGATATATAATCCTAACCTAACCAGACCTGACCTAACCAACAGTCATTACCACCACACTGTTGTGCTGCAAGGTAAGTCTATAAGGGCGCTCCCTAATTTACCTGGGTGGGGGGGGTCAGGTCACCATTATCAGTGAGTTGATGAGAGCAAGATTCATATGTACAACTGGTATTAAAACTCTCTCTCTCTCTCCACACAGCCACACCCACCCACCACGCCTACAACCACACACACACACCCACCCCACCACACAACCACACACACACCCCCACCCCACCACAACCACACACACACACACACCACGCCCACAACCACACACACATCAAAACACCCACTCACCACGCCTACAACCACACACACACCCCCACCACGCCCACAACCACACACACATCAAAACACCCACCCACCACGCCTACAACCACACACACACCTCACCCTACCCCCACCACAACCACACACACACACACTCACCACGCCCACAACCACACACACATCAAAACACACCCACCCACCACGTCCACAACCATACCTACACACACAGATCACTTCAGTATATCACACAGGTGTGGGACTGGAGGCGGGGGGGGATGGAGGGAGGGAGGGGAGTGGATGGAGGGGAGGGGAGTGGATGGAGGGGAGGGGAGTGAATGGAGGGGAGGGGAGTGGATGGAGGGGAGGGGGTAAGAGAAGGGGATGTATGGGGTGTTGGAAGTGGGTGAGAGAAGGGGGAAGGGGAAGGGGGATGGGAGAGAGGGGGAGGGGATGAGGTATATCCGTAAACAATATCAAAGCGTGAAAGAGATGTGCCATCCACCTCCACTACACACACGCCCCGCCGGCCCCACACATGTGTTGTCTGCGTAGCCAAGAAAAATATGGCACCGATTTAGAAGCTTGTTCAAAGACACGACAGCGGCGGTAGCTAGCCAAGATGGTGGTAGTGGTGTCAAGACCAAGCCAACCAACCAACCAGCCAGCCTGTCAACCAACCAGCCTGTTAACCAATCAAGCAGCCAGCCAGTCAGTCAACCAGCCAACTAACTAACAATCCACCCAACTAACTACCTAGTCAACTGTGCAACCAACGAGCCAGCCTGTCAACCAACCAACCAAACATGACGTGTCTTTCCTGTTCACGGACTAAGCTTAAAACTCACGACCCATGAACCCCATAAATGCTTACACTGGCTGATACTTTTACCTTTGTTTTTTTAAGACATGGCAACGTTGGAGCCTTGTAAATGTAAACAACAATGCCTGGAGGAAGTAGGTCATCTCTCTCTCTCTCTCTCTCTCTCTCTCTCTCTCTCTCTCTCTCTCTCTCTCTGTGTGTATATTCAGTTCTCACTAGATTTTCATATGTACACATAATTCTATTCTTCTTAATTCAGACATCGAACTGAACTGACACACCTACACACACACACAGTGAGACACAAAATTTTCACACACAAGGAAGTGAGACAAAACACCTGAGACATTACTAACACGGCACTATGACACAAGAGACAGTACAGTACTCACATGGTAGGATGTCCTTGTATCGGTTCTTGCGCCTATTAACATCTTTCTCGCCCTCGAGGCAGCAGTACTCAGGCCGGATCTTGAGGGTCTCCGTCAGCAGCTTCAGTTCCTGTCAAACACAACACACCGTTACTAACACTTGTTACGGTCAACACAAATTGTATAATACAGTACTTACATATATACAGTGCACACACAATTATAAATACAGTTATACATAGAATATAGCAGGCGGTAATATTATACTAACACTAACTAGAGCCTCCCAAGTCAACATGTAATATGTAGAAATATAAGCAATGTATGACGTCACAGCCGCGAGACACTGTAAGGTGGTCTACAACAAGTGACTTCCTCCCTTCACACTGTGTCTACACCTAGTGACAGTGGCCTCCCTCCCATCACTTTTTGTCTACACCTAGTGACAGTGGCCTCCCTCCCTTCACACTGTGTCTACACCTGGTGACAGTGGCCTCCCTCCCTTCACACTGTGTCTACACCTAGTGACAGTGGCCTCCCTCCTTTCACAGTGTCTACACCTGTAATATAATATAATATAATGGTTGCCCCTCGTGTAACGAGGATGGCGGGCCCAAGGGCCACCTAGGCGTGAATTTGTTTAAGGTGTAGAAGCTGTCGCCAACACAACAACCACACCCCGAGTTAACGAGTTGCATTACTCAGTGTCAAGGAATAGTCCGAGAAGACCGGACAACTCGCCAACTGCACTGGCTAACCATTACCCCGGAACACGATCCGCAAATCGATTAACATCCAGGTTCCCAATTACTGTTGGGTAGACAGAGGCAAATGGCGTTAAGAAACTTGCCCATAGTTTTAAACTGCCCGGGGATCGAACCCGGGTCCGCTCGCTTGCGAGGTGAACATACAGTGGGTGCCCATCCTCTCCAGCTGGTGCAGTCTGCCAAACTCCTGGGTGTAACTATAGACAACAAACTTGACTGAAAGGCCCATGTAAATAACACAGTCAAGGCAGCCTCGTACCGTCTCTACATGCTACGAAGACTTAGGTCACTTGGGACACCCACGCCAGAGCTGAGGACCATCTAAAACGCCTTTATTCTCCCCAAACTAACGTATGCGTCACCAGCCTGGTCGTCTTCTCTCAACTCCACCCAACAACGTCAGCTAGAGAAGGTACAGAAAAGGGCCTGCAGAATCATGCTCGGCGCAGAATACTCCGGCTACACCAACGCTCTCTCCACCCTGGAAATGCCATCCCTCAGTGACCTCCACCACCAAGCACTGGAAAGGTTTGGCCGTGGACTACTGCACCACCCTCGCCATCGCCACCTCCTGCAGCCCCCCACCCAACTCGCGCAGTCCACCACTACAACAAAATTCAACCCATAAGAGCCCGCACCGGTAGATATAAGAACAGCACCATCCCATCTATTGTTAAAATAATAAACAACTCCTGATTTATGTACTGCACAGCCCTGTAAATGTATTCAATGCATATTATATCATTAGGTCTAAATTAAATGTAAGTCTGTATATTTTCAGCCACCGGCTGCAACTCTATTAATAAACCGTTTATTATTATTATTATTATTATTATACTCTGACACCACACCTTGTGACACAGTGGCCTCCCTCCCTCCACACACTGTATTCGATACATCCGTATACCTGACACACTGCGCTCCTACCGCATTCCTACAACACATCATTACCTAGATATGTCAAGTCTTTGTTACTACAAAATAATCCTCACTAATACAAACACTTGCCAACATTTCACCACTACCCGCTGGCTAACAGTGAGCTGACGGTCAACGTGTGGTGGGTGGAGGAAGGCCATTCTGGGTGATCAATATAGACACACACACTTATTCTAACATTACACAAAAAGAAACGTGTAAGTAGAAGTAAAAAAGTTCACTTACAAAACACACTCCACTAATTTTGTATCCAGCATTATTATTTTGTATTTATTATTTGGCTTTACGACCAAAAACAAAACATAACAAGTTGTGACGAAAGATTTGTAACACACACACACACACCTCACTTAACCATACCAAACACACTGACACACGAGAGTACATTATTAGGCCTATACTGATGACCACCCCACACACCCGCCCCTAGAAGCCAAGTCTGTGTCCACCACTAGAACCACCAAGCACCCAACATGTCCACTGACTGATCTTGCTTACCTACCCTCTTATCCCCTCCATAAACGCTTCATCCACCCGTTTGTGTGTGTGTGGGTGTGCGCGCGCGCAAGAGTTTTTGTGAATGCTTCAATGATGTTCATTTGTACAAGTCCCAAGATAAATCCGCTCAGACCAGTCTTTCCCATATACCGGTATATGACTTGTTCCGATATTAATTTTATTGACATTTGATGGTGCACTTAGCCAGAGTCCCACGAGTGTCCTGATTACCGAGGTTCCACTGCATTTGTAATTATAAAAAAAACAAAAAACATTTGATCAACAAACTATGTATTTAAAATGTTTTATTTGAGTTACATTAACTTTCAATTTTCGAATTTAATGTAATTATTGTGACACCTGGCACTGAACACAAGTCGACTCGCCAGAACCAGAACACACCGTGACCACCAGGTAATTGCACCAAGTAAAGCGACGTTCAACAAAAACAGAAGATAAAGTATGATATTTTCTGCTAAACTGTCCTTAAATAAAAGTAAAATTATCTAAAAATCAATATCTTAAATTATCAGTACATGTACGGGATATACCAATAAATCTAGTTAATGTACTTGTATATACAGTTTTGAAGTATTGCACCGCTGTCGTGTAACTAATGGCACGAAAATAATACTTATCTAATATCACACTATTGTTTCCTCTACTGATAAATACAGTAGTCACACACACACACACAAAATAATCTAGTCTCCATTGTCCGGCAATAATTATTTTAATAACATCAGACGTGGTGATGTACGGATACGTTGGTTCCTCTGACTGAACAAAATCTTCCTTGTACTTGTTTTGTGATAAAAGGTCATCAAATAATGGCACTAATAACACATTGAATGGCAATGAGCATTCATGGGCAATATATTACTTTAGTGGCGAATAAATATCGATGTATTTGTGCAATATGGGAGGAGGATAGTTTTAAACCCCAGATGTGTTTGCCATTTCCTCATTATTGTGTATGGGAGAAAACCATTAAAAGGTAAATGGGTGAACTATATCCCAGTGTGTATTTACAAGTATTATGGAACTATTTATATTATACACACATTCAACATAACTTTACATACATACGTAATACAAAGGGACGAAAGAGATATATAATTATCATGAGGCGTGATTACAGTAACACTACCATACAGCAGGACTGCCAAAACACGACGACAACCACAGGAATACGTTTTAAGTCTCCGTCCGTTGTTTCGAATTATTACACACGGCAAAGGTCGAGATACTTTTTTGCTGACTGTACGTGTCACACAGCACTGACCCGCTCATAAGTTAACTCTAACTTCGAACCAGAGTTAACACATCTCGAGTCAGGGGGGGCTCTATTATCTCCGGTCTTAAAACTCCACATTGAGTTTTATTTTTTATACAGCCATCCTGTTTTGGTATTCGGGCGCCCAATAAGTGTGAACTAGTGAAAAGTGAGAGCTTTTTACCCAGCTGAAAAAGTTAGTGACGAGCCGTGAAGTTGCCAGACACCCCCACCCAAGGTAGGTATCTACCTACCTTGCCCCCACCAACCGCCAGACACCTTCACCAGCCACCCCCACCAACAGCCGCACACCTCCATCAGCCACCAGACACCTCCACCAACCCCCAAACACCTTCACCAACCCTCAGACACCTCCATCAACCCCAGACACATCCACCAACCCCAGACACCTCCATCAACCCCCCCCCAAACACCTTCACCAACCCCAGATACCTCCAACAACCGCCAGACACATCCACCAACCCCCAGACACCTCCATCAACCCCCAGACACCTCCACCAACCCCCAGACACCATCACATCCACCAACCGCCAGACACATCCACCAACCGCCAGACACATCATCAGACACATCACCAACCGCCAGCCAGACACATCCACCAACCGCCAGACACATCCACCAACCGCCGACACATCCACCAACCAGACACATCCACCAACCGCCAGACACCTCCATCAACCCCAGACACCTCCACCAACCCCCAGACATCCACCAACCGCCAGACACATCCACCAGACACCTCCACAACCCCAGACACATCCACCAACCGCCAGACAGAGACACATCCACCAACCGCCAGACACATCCACCAACCACCAACCCACCAACCCCCAGACACATCCACCAACCGCCAGACACATCCACCAACTGCCAGACACATCCACCAAACCACATCCACCAACTGCCAGACACGCCAGACACATCCACCAACCCTCCAGACACCTCCACCAGCCAGACATCCACCAACCGCCAGACACATCCACCAACCCCAGACACCTCCACCAACCGCCAGACACATCCACCAACACATCCACCAACCGCCAGACACATCCACCAACCGCCAGACACATCCACACAACCGACACATCACAACCAACACGCAGCCAGACACATCCACCAACTCCACCAACCGCCACACATCCACCAACCGCCAGACACATCCACCAACCCCCAGACACATCCACCAACCGCCAGACATCCACCAACCCACCAACCGCCAGACACATCCACCAACCGCCAGACACATCCACCAACCGTCGCCAGACACATCCACCAACCCCAGACACCCCAGACACATCCACCATCCACCAACCGCCAGACACAACCCCCAGACACCTCCACCAACCGCCAGACACATCCACCAACCGCCAGACACATCCACCAACCGCCAGACACATCCACCAACCGCCAGTCTCGAGGATGACACCCAGGAAATGAAATCATTAAAAGATTCGTTTTTCTCTCCACCAACTGCCAAGGGACATGGAACATTTAACAGTCTTACTGTGTTGGGTACACCGAATAATAATAAAAATGAAATCCTAATATACAATAAAAACCACTGCAGATAAAACAATAATATAAACTTAATATGAATAATAGAACAGCACAAGATACAATAAATATGAA